TTTAAATCCTAAATGCTTAAATTTCTCAACTATTCTCTCAATATAATGTGATTGGCTTAATGCATAACCCCTACTATGCTTTTTAACTTTTATTCCCAAGATGGTATCTACTTCTTCTAAATCTTTCATCTTGAAGACAAAGGATAACTAGTTTTTAATTTCATTTATGCCAACCATATTAGTACCCACAATAAGCATATCATCAACATAAAGACATACAATTATACCATAATTTTCAGTAAATTTTGAGTAAATGCATCTATCAGCACTATTGTRTTTAAAACCAAAAGSTARAATGCAAGAATCAAATTTCTCATGCCATTGTTTGGGTGCTTGTTTTAAACCATATAGTGATTTAACCAGTTTACAGGCTTTCTTCTCATTTCCAAGAAGAACAAATCATTCTAGTTGTTCCATATAAACCTCTTCATTTAACATTCATTTGATGAATAGATAAATGATAAATGGATGCTAGTGCTATGAGTGGTGTAATAGAAGTTGTTCTAGCCACTAGTGCATAGGTGTCAAAATAATCAATCCCTTCCTTTTGACTGAATCCTTTGACTACCAATCTAGCCTTAAAAGTTTGTACAGTTCCATCAGTGTTGTATTTTCTTCTAAACACCCATTTACATTTGATTGGTTTTGATCATGGAGGCAAGTCTACTAGTACCCTGTGTTATTTGACATTATTGAATCCATTTTATCATTTATAGCTTCCTTCCAAAAGGCAACATCTGTAGAGGTCATGGCCTCATTGTAGGTTTTTGGATCATTTTCAATGTTAAGTACAATGGGTATCTTATTTAAAATCTTTTCTCTATTAGCTTCGACCAAGAAAACAATTGACCGAGTAGCCGACAAACCATCATCAAGGGAAAATCCAGAACCAGAATCAACACCGGGCTCACTAGAACATCCGCTAGTCTCCCCCTCGCAGTGAGAGAACTTCACAGGTACAAGCCCCTCCCTCGGGACGAACCTTGCCGCGGGCTACAGTAGGCGACCGGCGTACTTCCTCTACTTCCCGAAGAGAGAGCTTGAGGGATAAGCCCAAACCTAGCTAGCTCGAGAGGTGCAATTAGCATGTTTCGCATGTAGATTGTCAACTCGAGGTCTGAGGCGCGGGATAGAGAAGAGACCCCTCGGTTCCCCACAACAAACAACACCGAGCACACGGCGAGGAGAACCCCTAAACCACCTCGCCCTACTATTCGGAGTAAGATCGAAATACCTAACAACACAGAAGCTGGTAGTACAAACACCGCACCACCAAAGAAGCAATAGCGGCGGCATCGTAAGACTCGCCGTTCATCAGCAAGGGATGATCCACCGACGAAGCCCAGCCATCTAGCAGATTAAGGTCGAGAAAGAGAGGAGGTGAGCTCAGTGGCCACAAGAACAATGCCTGCTCTTTTGAGTCGGCCTTCCCCCTATAACTCGAGCTCCTAGCGGCCCTAATGTCGAAAGATTTCAAGGTACTACCGCTAGATAAGTATGATGGGTCCTTTGATCCTAATGATCACATAGATGCATTCCAGTCCTAGATGCATCTCGCCGGGGCCGATGAGGCTTGTATGTGCGTGGCTTTCTTCACCACATTCAGAGGAGTAGTTCAGACCTGGTATAGAAACCTCATGTCGGGTTCCATCAGAAGTTGGGCGCAGTTTGCGGACATGTTTATGACCCACTTCATCACTAGTAAGAAGGGTCCAAAGTCATAGGAGAGCCTTCTGAATGTGGTGCAAAGGGAAGGAGAGCCAATTTGAAGCTACATCAAGCGCTTCAACGGGACATGCTTGCAGATACTGGACCTTGACCCATCAGTACGTCTCACCGCAACGCGAAAAGGAATCACTCACAAAGAGTTCAAGTGGCACGTCGTGGCCAACAAGCTGAAGAACATCACCGAGTTCCTTAAGTTGGCCGATCAGTTTATCAGTACAGAAGAAGAGATAAACCAGAAAACTGATAACCAACCAGGAGAAAAGAGGAAGAAGGAACGAGCAACAAGAAAAGAAAAAAGCAAGTCCCCCAAGCGAAGAAGCAAGTCCCCAAGCTCGAGGAGTAAGTCCCCCTCGCAAAGTTACAGGTCGGGTCGGCATTCCAGGACCCCGCCAGTGGAGAGAACGAGCTACACTCCCCTGAACGCAAAGCGAGGAGAGATCTTAATGGCCATCAAAGACTCCTCTTTCGTCAGATGGCCACCCAGACTATAGGGAGACCTAACGACCAGGAACCCAAACGTCTATTGTCATTTTCATCGGGACCATGGTCACAGAACAGAAAACTATAGAAACCTTCGCAATGAGATCGAAAAACTAATCTTCCGTGGGTACTTGAAGAAGTACATTTTGCATGAGGAAAAAGGACAGGGGAACCGGTAGGGAGATCGGAAAAAAGATGCCCCAGAGAGTAGTAGACAGAACGAGCAGCCACCTCGCCCACTACCAAAAGAAAGATTGATTCGAGGAGTGATTAATATGATCATTGGAGGATCTATTGTAGCGGGGTGCACGGCAGTAGCCGGGAAAACATCAATTTGAGAACTGGAGCATGAAGCAGAGAACCCACCTAAGCGACCTCGAATCGAAGAACCGATCTACTTTACTGAGGATGATGCCCGTGGGATTTAGTATCCTCATAACGACGCCCTGGTCATGAAGATGGTCATCAATGACTTTGAAGTAAAGCAGATCTTGGTGAACTCAAGCAGTTCGGCCGATATCCTCTTCAAAGGAACCTTTGACAAGTTGCAGCTACAGCAGAGCGATTTAAAACCAACAGATGCCCCCACTAGTAGGGTTCAGCGGAGAGGAAGTCAGGCCTATAGGTTGCGTCACAGTACTAGTGGAGGCGGGCACATGGCCGAATATTGTCCGGTTCAAGCACACATTCTTGGTGGTCACGACTCTATCCCCCTACAACGCAACCATAGGTCAGCCTATTACGCATGTTTTACGCGCGATAGTGTCAACTTACTATCTCGCAATAAAATTCCTGACGGATTACGGAGTGGGGGTAGTACAAGGCGACCAGCTCGAGTCCCGGAAGTGTTATGTGGCTGCCCTTAAAGGAAAGGCAAAATTGGCAGAAGACATCGAACTAGAACAACCAGCAGACTACAATGAGGATCAAGCTGCCTCAATGGAAGAGACGGTCCACGTACCAGTGTTTGAGACCGACCGACCAAGACTCTTCAGATCGGCACACTAGTAAGCGAACCGCTCCGAACACAACTAGTAAGTTTTTTACTTGACAATTTAGATGTTTTCGCCTGGTCCACGACAGAAATGCCCAGAATTGACCCTAACATCATAACTCATAAACTTAATGTGGACCCTCTAGTCAGGCCAGTCAGACAAAGAAAACGCAACCTCACCCCGGAGCGGTGGAGGGTAGTCGATGAGGAGGTCTAAAAGCTCCTCGCCGCAGACTTCATCAGGGAGGTCCACTACCCGAGCTGGGTCGCAAACCCTGTGCTTGTGAAGAAAGCCAATGGCAAGTGGCGCATGTGCATTGATTACACTGACTTGAATAGAGTCTGCCCAAAGGATTTCTTCCCCCTGCCCAGAATTATCCGCCTGGTAGATGCGACCTTAGGGCAAAAGTTGCTGAGTTTCATGGACGCCTAGTTCGGCTATGATCAAATTAGGATGTACATAGTTGACCAAGAAAAAATTGCTTTTGTAACCGAACTTTGGCTATTCTATTATAAAGTTATGCCGTTTGGTTTGAAAAATGCTGGAGCAACTTTTCAGCGACTTGTAAACAAAATTTGGCTGAGGTGTTCGTATGAGTCCGATTGATCGTTTCAATGACTAGGCCGGTAGAAGTTATGCCCTTTGATTTGAAAAACGCTGGAGCCCTTTGCTGAGTTTCTTAACGATTGGCTTTATTAGAATTTAGGTGCGCTAGAAGTGTTCGTATGAGTTCGATTGATTGTTTCTATGACTGGGCCGATTTAGGTCATCCGTGAGTTTTCTGTTCATTTTATATTCATGGCTAGTTAATTTTGGCAAGTGTATTTCCCCATTTGTTTTGTCATAATAAATTTAAATGAATTTTGCACTCGTACCATAAATGCACATGCTATGCTACAAGAAGAGTTTTTTTTTTCTAATTTAAAAGTAAAGTCCAACTCTTGTGCATTCATAAGACAAAATGCATCAAATTTTCAATCAATCATGTTAAAAACATTACATGGTCTATTTATTTTTCATTGATTCATGGTTTTAGAAGTTTACTTTCCCAATTCATAAAATGTACTTACCATTAAAACTTCAACAACATTGAAGGTTCAATTGTGACCTATCACTTTAGTTCATAATAGATTTATTTTGCACCACAACAAAAGATGTAATTGATTGAAATATGAAAATATACTTTGTAAAATATGCATATTTTATCATTGATTGATTGAAATCTGGATTGAACCCCATAATATAAGTGAGTGCACCATAGTCGAACTTTAGATTTTCCCTGTTTTTAGTACTAGGCATGACCCCATGCTAGGTACGGGCTAGTATTCTGATTTATATTTTTACTCATTTATGCTTATTATTTTTATTTAACAATCATTTTTTTATTATTTAATTAAAGAGATTAAATAAAGTTTTATTTTATAGAGATGAGAAACGATTGAAATCGGGATGGGCCCGATGCAGTGTATCGTGTAAAACCCTTCAAATTGGTAATGGGTCATTGGGTAAGTGCATCGTGGTGGCCCACTGACCCTCCTCAGTCCTCTCCCACGCAAGTTGCCGGGGAAGATGAGGTGATGTGGCTCCCACCTTTCTCATCATTCATCACTCCTCTCGCCTCGTTAATAATCTCTAAATTCTTAAATCTCACCCCTGTCCCTAGAATTATTCAGATATTGTAAAAGGCAGGGTACGGACATTCTTCGTAATTTCTATAGAAGATCCGGGGCCATTTTATTAAAATCTGTCTGCTACAACGTTTACCCTTTTCCTTACATTATTACAAATATCCAGGTGGTCCGAACTCGCATGGGAACCGAAACTCAGAAAATGTTGTCAAGAAGAAATTGGAGTAATAAACCGGACAAGCATAATAGTAAATCACAGCAACAGCGCAAAAGAAACAAGGAGACGCTGTAGCAGCAAACAACTGAAAAAAAGTAGAGAGAGAGAGAGAGAGAGAGAGAGTGGAACAGTTACACGAGTTGGGTTTTAGGCTCTCTCCTCTGAATCGATCGGAAAAAGGAGAGAGAAAGGGAAGAGAACCAAAAGGATGGCGGAGGTGATCCTCCATATCTATGACATCACCAACAGTGGTTCTGCAAAGACGAACAACACCATTGTTCAGATTAACAAGATCTTCAAGGATGGAATCGGTTTGGGGGGGATCTTCCATAGCGCTGTTCAGGTCATTTCTCTTTCTTGCCTTCTACTTTTCTCTATTAGTTTGTAATTTTTGGCCGGTTGGTTCAAATTCTAGCCTTCCGTATCTGGAAATGATTAAGTTTTACTATTTACCCACTTTTCTTTTTGGATTGGTGCAATGGCGGTTGTTGAAGGCGGGATCTAGGGTTCCGGACTTGGAGTTTTAAGCAACACTCGTCTTTTTCGCTTTTTACCGAAATTTATGATTCTGCATAATTATAGTAGTGTTCGCAGATGTTAAACTTATGCTATTTATGAAGAAAATAAGACAATTCAAGACAAGCATCCGTGCACCCGAACTGGACCATATCCATGCTAGTTATGTGTTTGACTGTTTTCTATGGTATACTTCTGTTTGAAATTTTCTAAACTAAATTCTGTGATCTTAATGGTAAATTTTGCTGCTAGGGATGGGATTTAACTTTTTTATTGACTTCTTCAATGCTATTCCGAAGTGGACAATCTTTAGCACAAGAATCTAACCCTTCAAATTCAAAGAGACCCATCAACAAAATGTGGTTTGCTTGAGTGAGGTTTAACAGTAATTGGTATCTGAATTCAGTAGACGCCATATGAAAAAAAGAAATAAAGGAATTAAGAGCCGGTGAATGTGAATAAAATTAAAAGCTAACCAAATTCCATTAAGTCCTTTAACATACGCTTTACCATTTTTAATTTTGAGAGGTATTGTTAGTTACTTGTACCCCTTATTCAGCTTCATCAAGATCTTGAGTGAGCTAAGAAACCCAAAGCACCATATATTTCTATTTCTTCTATACTAGCAAGCGAACCCATGCAAATGCGTGGGGGTTGAATAGAAATTTGGTTAGGTTTGGGTTGAAAATTTTGGGTTTTGGCATTGATTTAGTTCCAAGCCAAGGTCCATGTTTAGGGTTGGATTGGGTTGACACTTAACCTCATCTAACCCATCTAATTTATACCCATATTTTATTAGAGAGGGTCAAAAGGGGTTGAAAGATATTTTAGAGGAAATGAAGGATTTAATGGGGGGAGGGTTTCTATGAGCATGCATGTGGGGAGAGACCCTTGGCCTCCACACACTCCTCTTTCTATTATATATATTGTTTAAATTTGTAAATATGGAAAATTTTTAATGTAATGAATTCTTGAAGGCATTCATGAAATTTATTTGCACATTTAAAACCCTAGGATATGTTGCTCTTTTTGGGAGAGCAATCTAACAGTGTATTCATTATATCCTTTCTCTGCAAGGTAAAGCCATCTAGGTCTTAAATTGTAATTCGTTTCTTTCTTTAAAGCGTGTGTCAAGGTTCAATAAAGACAACTAGTAGAAAGAAAAAATGTTGGGAGCGATTGTTTTTTGTTGTTATGAGGGCCACCAACTAAAATTTGATTGGTCTCTTAAGTCAAATCACAGTCTCAAGTGTAATTCAATCATTCATTATGGTTCCTAGCACTTCTCCCACTAGGGTCCTTGTAATTCATTCTTTTTTCTTATCAGTGCACCATCATGCATGAACAGGTTCAAATGTTCTCTGTACAACCAATTTTTGTTTTAAATTAATCTGCCACCTATGTCAAAACTCTAATTAGCCATGGCCCCACTTCCAACCACTAAAAGCTGCTATCCCTCCCCTCTACCTTAGAGATTACTCATCAGAGGCTTCTTGTGCTGCGACCTAAAGATGACTCATGTTCTTCTCTCAAATCTTTATGCATAGGCTGGTGTATGGGATGATGTTGGTACTAGAATGAGAAGGGTGGTGAAAGAGAGGTGTTAGTAAAGAACCTGAATCTAGCTGAATTCAAGTGAGAGGAACTATGCATTCCTTTTATTCAGAGGACACATTGCATCCTAAGAGTCAAGAGATTTACTTGAAACTATATGAATTGAATATGCTAGTAGAACACTGTTCAAAGAATTGGTGGATGAATTCTTGATACAATGATGCATAGTATTTAGAAATTCATATATCTTATTTGTTGTTGTAGATCTCTAAGAGAGGCGATACAATTAGATTCTAATGATCATCAAGTTTCTTCTACTATCATAGTGGGTTTTCACCAATCTTGGTGGTTTCTGAAGCTACTTTCAGCTATAATTAGTTCCTTGAATCCATTGGGTCTCATTAAGTGATTATACAAAGTATTGAAAAGAATATATGGTTGTTGTGACGGATGGCTTCACTTGGGTGTTAACCAATATCTATGGTCGCAATAACTATAGGAAAAGGAATGACATGTGGGATGAGTTATGTGCAATTCGGGGTTTGTGGGAAGGTCCGTGGTGTTTGGGAGGGGACTTCAATGTTATACAATTTTCTGAATAAACTAGTAATCCCCAACAATCCATCACGACTAGCATGAGGAAGTTTAATAGCTATATTGTAGATTGTGAGTTGAAGAAAATTCCAGTTTTATGAGCCATATTCACTTGGGCTATGTTTAGTTTGTGGGGTGGGGATGGGAAAATGTGAATATTCGAAAAATATTCCTTTTTCATTTATTTGTTTTAAAGGAAATAGGGGGTGGGATGGGAAAAACGTGGGATGCGGGATCCCAAAATCAAGTAAGTAGGGTTGCACTACTCTGTTGAGAAAATATTTCGGGTCCTATCAGAGCAGAGAGCCTTGAGAGACTCTTCTTCTTCAACATCTACCCATCCCAACGGTTGGATCTCCGACGATTTCTCTGGCCATCTCATTCAATGGTAAGATCAAATCCATCTTCTACTTCCTTTGCCTATTTGCTATTTTGTTTTTTGGCCTGTTCTTCCTTCTTTCCCATCCCTTTTTCCCCCTTAATTTGCTATTTTGTTTTTTACATCTATTAAACTAACATTTAGTCAAAACATTCTTCGTCATTAAACTAAATGTAAAACTAAGCGGGATTTCCATCTGTAAAACTAACATTTTTGTCAATTAGATTTAACATTTAGTCATTGGGTTCCTATGTTATGGACGCATTCCTCGGAAAGACGTACCATCGCCGTCGGTAGCAACAGGAATCTGACCCATCGCCAGATTAGATTAGATCATCTTGCTTGTTCTTATCTTATTCTATTGCTCTTATCTTATCTTGTTAGTAAGTTAT